ATGCCACGAAGAATTGAGGCAGTTCTGAAGGCAAAAGGGGGTCCAACCCGTTACTAGCGTGGTGTACCTAATAAAGTGGCCGGTGAGTGTATGTTTATTAAATAAAATCTAATGTTACAACTAATCGGGGATCCCTTTAAAAAATAAAAGTTGCCTGTTTATTTGCTTATTACTTTTCTGAGGTTTGGCTGGTTTTTATTGAAATTAATGACATTTTATCCTTTAAAAATTACTAGTTTTTGCATGGTGATTAGATTGTTTTAGCTTAGCAAAAAAAAAACTGCACACATTCCATCCTTAAATATCAGTTTATGTTAAGCAAAACGGAACACAAATGACCTTGCAATGAGTCAAAATTCCATTTCGTGAATCACTTTAGCAGAAACTTGAAATTCCACAACCTGAAAAAAAAATGTAACCTTCTCTTCAAATACCTTGGCTTTTTTATTCTTGGGAGTTAATTCAGTTTGCATATTGTTATTCTCTGATACGCGTGTGTGTGTGTGTGTGCGTGTGTGTGATGGAACCTGGTGGAACCTGGGCCAGATCCCTGTGGATCTGCCTGGCTGAAAGTTTTTAGCCCGTGTTTCAGCCTCTGTGTTTAATGACCTCGGTGCCGTCCCTCAGCTATTAGCTCCCCCTCCTCAGCCAACTGTCCTTGCAGGTCAAATACACAAGATGTGTCCATGGGCCTACTTAGCATGCTGCTTCACTAACACTGCAAAAAGCAAAGAAGTGAAATAAAGCAGAAGTAGGAACAGAGAACTGACAGTGTGCACATTGTATACATCCGGTGTAAAGAAAGAGGCACACGGTGCTTTTTCGTTATTTCCCTACACTCTGCAGCAGAGTCTGCCCTGTCCCGGCTTGTTTTACTTTTTCAGTGCCCGTCTATCTCACAGTAACTGATACTACCAGCTAGCAGAAACACATTAGATTGGAGTGTCACGATCCAAAAGAGAACTTAAAGGAGCGAGGTGCCTTGTTGGCACATTTGCCGCGGCCCCCTAATGAAAGATCAATCTGTGATCTGCCTCGTCTCCCTGGGAGCCCCAGTGCTCCAGAGCCCCTGCAGCCCCTTTAATTGGCTCATATCCGATCTATAACCATCACAGGCAGAAGAAAGTGCAGAGGAACGGGTGTGAGAGGGAACTAAGAACGAACGCTTCGGGCGAGGAGTGCAAAAATGAGGGATGACAGAGAATACTGCATGAGTGAATAAATTTTAGACGAAGTTTAAGGGTAAATATGCAGCAGCTGAAACCGCATATAGCACATTTCATACTTTTACTTTAATCTTTTCCTTCACAGATTTTAAGTACTTTTTTTCCTGGTCTGAATTTAACACAATTTTGATGCTTAATTTAGGCAACAAGTGCAACTAGACTGCAATTCTTATATCAAGTACTTTTTTATTTATTTATTTGTTAATTTTTTAGACAGTGACTACCTTTAGTAGAATTAAAATCTGCCCTTTTTTGAAATGAAAACATGTTCAGTGCATCTGTCATGTTTTTGTTAGTTTAGAATTCAGCCTCCAGGTGAGTCTTGAAAAAAGAAAAATTGAGTCAGTATAAGTACTACACTTTTAGTTGTGTTCTACTTCCTTAGTTCATCGCTTTGATCATTTATGTCACTCTTTATGTACTACAAACTCAAAGTGCTCTCAGCTAGGAGTGTTTCAGCTGAGGACTCATTAAGTCAGGAAGAAACGCCTAAAAAATGTTGACTCAAGGCTGTTTTGAGATATTCTTGTTTAATCATAAGTTTGTCACATATTTGTATCTGTGTGTATCTGCCAGTTTAAGGTGAAAACAAACTGTACTTTGTAGCATTTTATTGAAACTTTTCACTGGGGCGGGGTATTCAAAATCTACTTGTTTGAGCTATATCATGTTATATATCAGTTATAATGTCATTGCCTCATAGAAAACATGCCCAGAGTGTTGCTATGACTCATTCATGCATGTTAAAAAAATCTTTGAATCTCCTGTGGTATCCATGTGGAGCTGCTAAATGCTTGTTGGCACAAAGCTCCACCTATTCACACAAGTTTGCAGCCAAGCTCCCAACCCTGAAGCAATGTTTTAAAGGCAAAGCTGAAGCAGGAGTGTCAGAAACGGTAGGAGGTTCTTCAAGAGACAGAGGACAATTTCAAGGCATGCAATGCCCTGTCGAGGTCCTGTCACACTAAACTTATGCCAACTTATGCACATTTTAAAGGCGTCTATGTTGAAGATTAAATTGAAAAAAAAATCAACAGGGAGCTCCTTTTTGACGTGTGCATAATGTAATTCTAACAAACTAATCAAATGTCTAACTTTTATTAGTAATTTAGACTTAAAATATGTCTTTAGATAGGCTATGCTGCAAAGTTAAATTTATTTTTGATATATGCAGCATTTTCAGTACAACTGAAGGTAACATAGTTACTTGATTGTGGTATAGACTTGAACTATGTGCCTGGAAAATACATAATACAAGATGCTATCTTTAACTATTCGCCCATTTCTTCATTTTCTTGACCCCTTCTGATCTGTCTCATCTTCTTTTCCTATACGTGTTTCCTTTTTTTAACTCTATGCTAATTTTGTTTCTCTTCCACCCTCTCTTTCTGCTTCACACTTCCCTGTCATAGATCCAGGTGATCAGCTTTGTCACAGAGCAGAACTGGGACTCGCTGGAGGTCTTCGATGGAGGCGACAACACTGACACAATGCTGGGCAGTTTCTCAGGTACGGCTGCATGTGCCTTCCGTTTGGATGAAAACTCTGGTTTATTTAAAGGAGAACCACAGTTGCCCAGTTAGGATTTGAAAAGCAGAAAAAAAAGGATTAAAAAAGTTGAAGTGGATGCTGTGAGTTCTAATCAACACTGAGTTCTCATAGCATGAAATCATTGGATGTGTTCATGTGTTGCTTTTTTAATGTAGAACTTTTCCTGTTTTGTGTCACAAATAATATATAATTTGTCACTCACTTGTTTTTAAACTGTGTATATGCCATAATTCACACACATCTGTACAATGCCTGCATGAACTAAAGATAAACTGCTGTCAGCAAAGGGACAAAAAAGAGCTTTTCAGCTTTTTATCAGTGGCACATGCAGTTAGTTATGGTCAGTGTCTGGAAGAGACTGCTTTGCTAAACTCCACTATTAATCTTCTCCCCAAGGCACGACTGTCCCGGCTCTACTGAACAGCACCTCCAACCAGCTCTACCTACACTTTTTCTCTGATATTAGTGTATCTGCAGCAGGATTCAGGCTGGAATACAAAAGTAAGTGAACATCAATTAAGAAAACAATGTAAAATATTTGCATTTTTTTTAGGGATACATGAATGTCTCTTTTTTGTGTGTCTTAGTCTTTTTGTAATATTTTTTGTTCCCACTTCCTCCAAATCCTCAGCTGTGCCTTTGACCAATTGCCCAGAACCTGTCGTTCCTATGAATGGTATCAAAGTTGGGGAGCGTCTACAGATGAATAATGTGGTGTCCTTCCATTGTGAACCTGGTTATACTCTACAGGTAACATATTCAGATTTAAAACTGGTCATACAGCATAATCAATTATCAGTTATCAGTTTTAGCTGCAATTATACTTGTGTTTGATAAGCCAAAAATGTTTGAGAAAAAATATTAATGTATGTATTAAATCATGTTGGGATTATCCAATTCAAAGCTTTATATGCAGTCATAATAAAATATAGATACTATAGATGGTTCTTACTCACTTTAAAAAGAGACACAAAGAAACACTGAAAAACATTACGATATGGAACATTGTTGTCATTAACGTAGCAATAATCCCAAAATGCTAAAGCAATTTATATAAAATAACTGGATTAGGACCACCATTGGGACCAAACGTTACTTGAGTCATGTGCAAAATATAAAAGGGAAAGTGTTACTTTTATTGTTAAACAAATAAACACTGTCACACAAATCACACGTTACTGCACAATTTCCTCCTGTTTTATTTTTATACTGTAGTTTGCCCATTATCTTTTAAACCAGTGGTTCCCAACCTGGGAGGCCCGAACCCCCATGGGGGGCACCAGAGAGCAAAGGGGGGAACATAACCTTGTCTGCTGAGAGGTTGTGAAAATATCAATTTCTATCAAAGTTTGTAACTATTCACTTTATTATTTTATTTTTTTGATAAAGGGATAAAGGTGTGGGGGGGGGGGWAGCAAAGGATTTGGGGTTTGGGGTTGGTCAGGTTAGCTAGTAAGTAAGAAAGGGGGGGTTTAAGGAAAATAGGTTGGGAACCACTGTTTTAAACAACAGTTCAAGAAACAGTTTTTCATAATCAAAATTATCGTACACAGAACTGTCTTGTGAAGATTATTAGAACATAAATGGAAAATCTAGTTGGACTTTCTAGGCAATGATGATGAAAATTTATCAAGTCAGTTCTTAATCTAGGTTGAAGATATAAATAGACGATTAGGATAATAATTTAAATATTAGGTTTTTAAATTCTGAGGCCTCATCAGCTTTATCAGCTGCGGTCTTTGATCAGATAAAGCTTTGAATCACTTTCTTTTATCAGTTGAAAAGCTCTCAAAATACGGTTTGTTGAGACAGACACTCACTTTACACACATTTAAGAAAAGATCACAGATGTCCTTCATATTTTTAAATTATGTATGTTTTGGACATTTCTTTCTTCTTTTAAGTGTTTTAAAGTGAATAGTTCACTATAACACTAAATCTGTGGATCTTTGGGAAGTTTAGACTTTTTATTTTATTTTATTTTTATTTTTATTTGTCCCTTCTGGATAATTCCATTTCATTGTGGCTATGATGCTGCCTCCATTTCTTTTCCTCACTTTTGATGGATATAGTAATTTAGTCACCAGGGGAAGTCATGTGGAGAAAAGCAGCAGGCTCAAATAATTTGAGCAACACATGAGTGACAGTGAGGAGATCAAGTTCATTTATCATCTTTTTTTTTTCTTTTGTACCTTTTCTTTTTTTTTCTTTGTGTGTATGTGTGCCTTGGTGCGTGAACATCTCTTGCAGGGGAACTCACACACCACCTGTATGCCTGGAACCGTCAGACGTTGGAACTATCCACCTCCTCTCTGCATAGGTAAAGATACCTTTGTAATAATTTGCTTTCATGTGTTGTCACTCATCATTTTTTCCTTTCATCTTTTGTTTTGATCATCTGTTTCAAAGTGTCCCAGTCTGTAGCTTTATGTCACGCTGTTTATCAGATTCCAAAGTACAGATTTGCCTTTACTTCCTAATATAGGTGAATTTCCTTGTTTTCTGTTTTAACACGAACACTTTACATGCCAGAGGTTATGTTTTTTCTCTGATCCCTTCCTGCCAGCCCAAACCGGAAAAAATAAAAAAATAAAAAAGTTGGTTTGTGTTTCCATTTAAACTCGTGAGATCTATTTAAAATGTAATATTGTTGATATAAAAACTCAATGAAGGGAGCAGCACTGTGTTTCCCACTTCATTTTATCAAGTGTTTAGGCTTGTGGATTAGCCTTGACAAATGTGTCACACTTACTGGAACAACATACTATTGGCTAATTAGTTCCATCTCAGACTGTGATTGGATAAAACAAGGGAAGATTCATTGTGTTCACAGGCATCAACAGTTTCCTGTTTACAGCAGGCAGCTACAACAGTTAACCCTTAACTTACTCCTTTCAGTAGCACATTGGCAAAGCGAACTTTTTTTCGGTATGTGTGTGTGTTTTGTACATTTTTTAACTCAGGAATGCTTTCTCATATTCCTTCCTGTCTTCTTTCCTGTATGTTTAATCCCTTTGCAGTACTTTTGTCTGTGGCTTTTTTGCTGTTGCTTTTTATTTTGTTGCATTTTTTCCCTTTAAATCCATTGTGCAGATATTATCAACCCTATTTCTGTTGTGTTATTTGTGATTTCATCACCTTTTCAACTAAACATGTCCAGCTATATTTGTCTCAGACCTGTTTTCCATTGGAAGTATTTGGTTATTAAGCTTTATTTAGAAAATGATTAAGGATGAAAGACTTTGTTTTCAGTTTGGGTCGTTCAAACGAAAATTCGTACATTTTTAAAGCTAATATTCGGAGTTGTTTTTATCTTTATTTACATTTTCTTTTATTCTGTTAAAAAAGGTTACACGTTGCTTTCTTTATTGAATTTTCAATGCAAACCGTACGTGGAGGGAATTATGCTTGATTTGTTTGTTGAACCTGATGGTTATGGACTAACACAGACTAACACATGACAGCACTGTCGTATGAACTCCCATTATTAAGCAGGACACAGTTTAATATTGTTCTAATATGCGGTAAATGGTAAACGGCTTGAACTTACATGGCACCTTATGAACCCCAACACAATTTACAATTCACCCATTCACACACTGATGGTGGTAACACTGGGGCACACTGACAGATGTTGGGGTGCCATGCACCAGCACCACTGGACCCTCTGACCACAATCATTGGGCAAGGTGGGTGAAGTGTACCTGCCTTGACTGAGGAGGACACAACGACTGAGACAGCTGAAACGGGAAATCGAACCGGCAACCTACCGGTTACGGGATGACGTCCCTAACCACTCCACTACAGCCGAACCAATGAGAAAAGTATTTTGTTATTTTGCAAAGGCTAATCATGCCTTTTGTCTGGCCTCTCTCAGCCCAATGTGGTGGGATTCGGGAGGAGATGGAGGGAATGGTCCTCAGTCCCGGTTTCCCTGGCAACTACCCTAGCAACAGTGACTGCACCTGGAGAATTTACCTGCCAGTTGGTTACGGTGAGCAGCGTTAGAGATTTCTAGAGCATGTCTCTCTGGATAGTCCACACTGAAGCACCTGGAATGACATTTGACATCATAAATGCGTCTGATTCACTTTGGAGACTGTCTGCAAAAGTACTTTAGTCACACTTTAGGAAGAAGATGGAATTTTATTTAAAATTCTAACTTCATATTTGTTTTTCTGAAAATCACATCAGTACTTTTCTTCCTTTCTAGGAGCCCACATACAATTTCTCAACTTCTCCACTGAGGCCAACCATGATTTTCTTGAGATACGCAACGGGCCCCTGGATACAAGCACAGTTATTGGTCGATTCAGTGGCCAGGACATCCCATCCTCCCTTCTCACCACCTCCCACGAAACATCCGTGTATTTCCACAGTGACCATTCGCAGAATAAACCGGGCTTCAGGTTTGAGTACCAAGGTATTAGAATCCAAACATTATGCACAGAAGAGTACCCTAAGGAACTTGTGAGATGTACGCAGCATTTTGTTTATTTTGGGGAAATATGCATTCTTGTAAAAATCTAAACAAAACAAAACCCTAATGACCAAATACACTTATCTTGAAACGTTTATCATTTATTTTGTGAATGCTTATCAAGCATTTACACTACTGAGATCTTCTTTTTTTCATATGTTTTTAAAACATTTTATTTAACAAAACATTCAGCTCCTTTAGGACATTCTGGCTAAAACACTTTAAATCAGTGGTCCCCAAACTACGGCCCGTGAGCCGGATCCAGCCCGCCTCCCCATTTGGTCCGGCCCCCAGGTTAATACCAGAGAGCATTTAGTTTTGTCCTCCAGTTTGGGTTCCTTCGCCCGGAGCTTCTTCTGCTTCAGCTTCTCCCGCTTCCTCCGTCTCTTCGTTTTGGTTTTTTTTTCATATATGTGTATTTATATTTGATTATAAAGTTGAACTTTTGCAATAAAATGTTCCTTAGTTATGAACTATTTTCATTATTAACTATTATTAGTTAGTAACTATTTCATACATACACGCATATAACGTGACATTCTGTTCCACCCTTCTGCGGTCTGTGCCCCTATCTGACAACCCCCAGAAAAAAATCCTAAACCCGCCCCTCTCAAAGAGAGAATGGAATAATGGCGAAAAGATTAGGTAAGAGAAAAATTGATTCAGAATGCAGGGCATTTAAACTGCAGTGGACAAACAATTATTTTTTGTTCATCTGTCAAGAGGCGGTGGTGGTATTCAAAGAATACAATCTACGGGAACACTATGAATCCCGTCACAAAGACAAGTATGATAGCTTGCAAGGCCAAATGCGAGTAGACAAACTCTCAAAGCTAAAAAGTGGACCGTTAGCTCAGCAGAATACATACTGTGAAGAACCCAGAGAAGGTTATTTGATTGTGCTTTCTGGAAAACAATAATTTTTTACATTTAGGCACTCCTGCAATAGTCACACTTTTTCTGTTACAAACTGACTCCGGCCCCCCACCAGAGAAAGGAAAAGTTATGTGGCCCTTACAGGAAAAAGTTTGGGGACCCCTGCTTTAAATTGTCCATAAATTTAAATTAGTTATTTTTATATTTAATTAATATACTCATTTCAGCTTCCCTCTGCTTCTATTTGGCTGATTTTAGCTTTGTTTTTTTTTGTTTTGTTTTGTTTTTGTTTATTTTTTTACTATCATTCAGACCTTTTCTACAATTCTTCTGCTAATGTCAACTTTTTGTACTTCTTTCAGCTGTTTGTATTTTACGCTTTTTTCCTCTTTTAGCTGCTGTCTGCTACTTGCAGCATTTTTCTGTGTTTCAGCAACTTTTTAGCTAACTTGAACTTTTCTCAACTTATTTAAACTTTTTGCTGCTTAATTCAGCAAACGTGCTCTTTCTGTTTCTTTGTGCTAATTTCTTTTTTCTTTTTCTTTGTTTTTTACGTATTTTAAGGCTAATTTCAGCTTTTTAACCAAACTCTTTCATCATTAAGCATTCACCCTGCATTTTCACAGGAAATGGAAATTGTCTAGTTTATTGTGGGATTTTTTTTCCAGTAAAGCAGAGATTCTTCCTCAAAACTAATGCTAAACTATGTATTATGAACACAAACACAGTGAACCTCTGTTACCTGTAAATGGTTTGTTTATCACATCAACAATGCCTTCATTGTGTCAAGTAAAGACTTTAACTTGCCATCGCCATGGGGCAAATACCCATCATCTAAATGTGCAACACAAAGTTTGTGTTTCAACAAATGAGGCAGCAAATCGAAAGGTAGCATTGTGCATTTACATAATTATGTGTAAATTAGCATATAAATCAAGCATTGTATTTGCAATTGCCCCCCCTCCTTTGCAGTATTTGCATGAGTTATCTCCTACAAAGAGAAGCTGTGATCCATAGAAATCAAATCCTTTAGTCATTTTTATATCCCTGGCTCTTCAAGGCTCACTGCCTGCTCATGGATTGTATCATAGAAGGAAAAAAATAAGGAGAAAAAAAAAACTTAAATGACTGCATCATACTCTTCTAGAGCTAGTTAAACCCACCTCTTGTTTTTTTTTTAACTCTGCTGTTTAAAGTAGAAAATATGAAGCAAAGTTCAAATAAATGAATTAAGAAATGAGTAAGTAAATAAATAAAAGCTCTTATAATGTATTACCCTGGTGTTTTTAGATGATGTTGCATACCTGTCAACTTATACAGATTGTCCGTAAATTACACAATTTCCTCCATTTTGCAGGTGTTTGGACATATAGAGAAATCTCATGGATGTTTTTTTTTTTATTTATTTATTTATTTATTTATTTATTTATTTATTTATTTATTTTTCCATCTCAGGGCCTGTTAGCCTGGCCCTTGCCTTACTACGCAGCTCCGCTCAATTCTAGTTTCCTTCACTGCTCCGTCTGGGACTTCAAGTATTTCGCTGGCAGATTTTTTGCCGGGCCAATCAGAGAAGAGAACGTCAATTTTCTGCGCATTGTCTCTTGTAGTTTATTTTACCTGGGCCAATCAGCAAACAGAAGGCAGAGTTTTGAACGACGTTGATTTTCCGCGCAGTGTCTGCTAGTTATTTTAGCATTCGGCAGTGGAGGAAGAGAATGAAGCCAGTCGGTGTTGATAAGGCTTCCAAATTAAAATAAATTTGTCTGACAAAGCATCAGCTCTCAATTACAGTCGTCTCGTTTGGCTCGGTATATTTCTCCTCTCAGTAGGGTTGTTTACAGCGCACGCGATTTCCGGTTAGCTTCTTAGCTTAGCCTCCKTCACAGCGACAACACATACATGCTTCAGCAGAGGCCACGCCTCCTGCAAGGAACGATTCTCTATGCTTCAAGTCCAGACCCTTGTACGAAGCAAAGTGAAGGACAGGGTCTGGTTTGAACCAGGTTAAGGGCCTGTAGGACGTGAAAAAATAAACAAGGGAAAAAAATTAAAGAACCATCTCCCAACTAGCTTTGTTGCTAAAAATAAGTTCACCACCTCTCCCTGTTCTCTATTTCCTGTTCCTCTGCCCCACAGATGCTGTGATCTCCACCCCACATTCTTTCCTTTCTCCCCCCCCCCCCTTTTTTTCACATTTTTTCATGATACAGGTGTAAATGTCCAAAGGAGTTGACATGTATGGTGTTTACATTTTAAGGCAAATCCATACTATAATGCATGTATGTCAAAGTTTGTTTTTATTTTCTTTTTAGCATACGAGCTGCAGGAATGTCCAGATCCAGAGCCTTTTCGTTATGGGGTGGTGGTGGGTGCAGGCTTCAACGTTGGCCAGTCCATTTCCTTTGAGTGTCTGCCCGGATATCAGCTAATGGGTCATTCCATTCTTACCTGCGAGCATGGTACCACTCGCAACTGGGACCACCCATTCCCTCGCTGTGAAGGTAAGTCAAACAAAATTTGGCCCAATACCTAAACAAAAATGTTGAGATTCGCTGCTTGTAAAAGTTTGACAGTAAAACAGCTGCAGACATGCATGAAGGCAGAACTAAACTAATTGCATGATAACTTCCTGTTAAGATATTATTGAGCTTTTACATCATTAGTGTAGAATGGAGATAATGATTATCTTTTATGAATAATGTAATTAAACTGAGTTATTATCCCCCATTAATGAAGCAAAGTACCCTTTAATGAAAATCAATACGGCACTAAAGAGGAGTGGAGACAAAAAAAAGATGAATAAAAGAAGCTAAATTGAAAAAAGAAACTGGATAAAAAAGAAAAGGAATAAATGCTCTTTCTTTTGCCTTGTCCTTGACACACATTCTCACGCCCCAGCTGTCGATTATCCAATAAGGCAGGCAAAATTACAGACAGAGGTGATGGCCGTGACACTGGAACTTTGAATGGGCGAGCGGAGAGATAAATGGGAGTGTGAAGAAGCAACAGTTAAAAAGGCAGAGAGAGCAGAAGGTATTTTATTATCTTAGAGCTGTTTCTCATGGGTATAAACTTTTACAAGGTTCATTTTTTAACCTGAGAGACTAATGTTTGGGAAGAAAAAATAAATAAAAAACAACAACAAACAGGGTAAGTTGTTTTATATTAAGCATATATACCATTTTTTAAAATATAATTTGTTTTTTTTTTTTGTGCTCTCCCATGTACACACCAAACAATGCATTGTGTATTTTAATTGAAAAGCGAATATATTGATGTTTTACCAGTTGCTCTTGAGCATACAGCCATAAAACCCATTATTTTGTCAATATTTATGGTTTTATTTACATAGATTTCCGTTAAAGAGGAGGACACAGATGACCCATACATTGATTTTGCCATCTCCCTTGCACTAACATTTTTTGCTATTTCATTATTATTTAAGCACGCAGTATGTCTCTGCTTAGTCTTTGTTGTTTTTGTCCTCCTCCAAACATCAAACCTTTTTTTACAGTAAAACCTATAGTCATAAAAAATGTATTGTGTGCATGCAAACCACTAGGCAATGATTAGGAGAAAAAGAAGCAGCCAGTTGCTGATAATCAAACACCTTTAATTGTCTGATGTTTGAACCCCTCTGTATAAACTAGGAGTTTTGCTGGTTTGCTGAAGCATACTAACACGTTCTCCCTCCCGACTCGTCAACATATTGACACTTGGTCAGGGACAGTCTGCTTCCAGTTTTGATGCGTCGGGTACTCCCCTCGCATCAGTCCTTGCCACCTGCGGCTTTTCCAGGTTGCGACACTTAGGGGTCTTTGGGTTAGGGATCTGAGGTTAATATGAGGGATCAGGATTAATGGTTAATTTTAGGTACTGTTTTCGGGGATAGGCTGTATAGGGCTAATATAAGTTAAATTTAGGGTCTGGGATGATTAGTTTTGCGCATTTCCTACTCTTTCAAAAAACTTAACAATGGGCTCGTCCTTCTCATCTCATTAAGAACTGACGCGCGGGGGGTACCTGACGCATCCGAAGCTGGACACAGACGGCTACCAGACCAAAAGTCAATATGTTGATGAGTTGGGAGTGAGAATGGGTTGAAGCATACATACAACTGTGTGTTAACATGTCAACAAGGAACGACATCAGTAACGGTCTCGACAGTTGCTGTCCATCAGTTTGGAATTTCCAAACAATTGGATGTTGTTCATTCTGTAATGAGTAAATGCAAAGTTAGGACGGTTGCCAGTAAGATATGTATTTCCCAAACAATCCACCTGTAAGACAGACCATGCAATGCTTAAAGAAATTGCAAAAATCCCAAGAGCTCCATTTCAGACACTACAGGTGTCTGTAAACAAGTAACATTTCATGTTTTTCAATAAAAAAGACTATTATATAAAAACCTTTTCCAAAAAAAACTTTTCCATCTAAAACAAGGATATGACAGATCAATGTAGGTTTTCAAATTTGTGTTTAAATGAACCACAGTACCTCTAAAACAATGTCCTTTGGACAGATGAGACCAAAGTAAAGATGCATGAGCATAATGCACAGAGCCATGGTAAAATGCAAACACGCATAAGCACAAACACCTCTTCCAACTTTGAAACATGGCAGTGGAGGGTTGATAACATGGCTTTTTTTGCAACCACAGGACTTGGGCACTTTACTTTTACTGAGTCAATCATAAACTGCTCTATAAACCTCAATGAACTGAAGCAACGTTTCAAAGATAAGTGTGTCAAAATTCCATCATATAAACATCATGCAACTATCAGGTGTACTTGTTTTTTTTCCTCCAAAATAAGGAAAAAACAACAGTAAAACAAATGTGTTCTCTTTCACACATTTGACTTAAGTAGCTAGTTAGTCAATGCATCACCCAGAGGTGCAACTCCTTAGAGTGTCGAGGGTTTAATCAATGTTTCTGATCAATAGTTCATTTAACAGGTGAGGCAGTTGTAGGGATGCGAGTCGGCCAGAGGGCTAAAGCTGGCATCTGTGTATTGTGAACACACACAACCTGAGAGAGAGGAAAAAAGAGTGGGATAAAACATGTAATATCTGCCTTGGGTCGGATTTTATATTCACAGACATCCGGGTGTGTGCCGTTAAGCTGAATACCCTAGCTGAGCTGTTTGAGATGCCTGCACTGCTGCGATTATATTCCCTCTGAATTCCCCCTGCTTCACTGGTGGAAATGAGGGGCACCAGTGGGAATGTTAGATGCTTTAAATCTTAGAAATTACCAAGTTTCGAAGAATCATTTTCCCTCTGTTCCTTTGCATGTTGTTTGGAGGCTGCATTTTAATATGGCTGTGTCTTTGTTTTGAACGTGGAGACATCTGGCTTGTGTGTACACGAGGGTCCAAGTGTTTTCAATCTTAACGTATACATACTGTCATAACCTTTCCTGCCAGTCAGAGTCACACTCGTGCATATCAACTCATACAATACGTACTGCACTCGAACGCATCCAGACATGCATACGTTCACCTCAAAATGCCCAATGCACACCAACAACCCCACCTCATCTCTGCACTTTCTCCCTACATCCGCAATGGGGAAGAGGGAAGGTCTTATCTTTGCAAAACACTCAGTCCAGCTCCCCACTTACTAAAAGGCTTTACAGGCTAATCTTTAACTCAGACAAGTGCCTGGGCAGTAGACGAAGTCTGAAGTAGAGGGAGAAAAGAGACACCGAGAAGGAAAGCAGAAGAGGTGAAAAAATAAGAAAAAAAAATCCCTTTCTGCTTATTACAGCTGATTTATGTTTGTATGATTGTACTGCATCCCTGCCACACTGATATACATGTACTCCACCTCCTTTTCTTCCCTCCTTCGTTTATTTTATTTTATTTTTCATAGTGCCATGTGGAGGCAACATCACATCAGACAATGGGACCATCTTTTCCCCCGGGTACCCAGAGGAGTACCCAAACTCAGCAGACTGCTCCTGGCTGATTTCAGTGGCCCCTGGCTTTGGCATAAAATTAAATTTCACCCTGCTTCAGGTTCATGGCCCACATGACTTCATCACAGTCTGGTAAGAAATAACAGCTGTTGAGAAAACAATGCTCAGACATTATCAGAATGAAATAGATGCTGTTTTTTTTCTAGAGAAGGGGGTCTCTGCAGTCATTATGTGGGAGTTTCTTGTTGTGTGAGAGGGAGTTTGTCCAAAACATGATTGGTTTGACTTTTGTGGGAGGAGTTTGTTAAAAATGTGATTTGTCAAATTTACTATTTTGGGTGGGATTTTAAGGATGAATGCTGGGCAGCTGGGGGGGACATGTAACTCAGTTGAATTGGCCAGAAAGAAGCTATAACTTTAAATATTAATTTTAGTCGTAACTCCAAACAGCCAAATGGTGCTAGCAAAATTTGAAAGCAGTTCACCCGGAGGGCTGTGTAACAATTTGGCTTGGTTAAAACAGCCTGAAATTGCCTGGAAAAAGATTGCTGTGACCCAGGCCAGGTAGGTGCTAGTCGTTCCAAATTTGAAGTTAGTAAACTATGTTTACATGTTCACAATTTTTATTTGAGATATGAATCTTTTTGAAAATACTTTCACTATTACTATTACTTCATCTTTTTAACTTGCCCCACAAGACAAGTCAATCCAACTAATCAGAGTTAGGACAAACTCTGCCCACACAACAAGAAACTCCCCATATGTACTGCAGAGACTCCTACTTTATGACATTAAAATGGTAGCTTATTATTATAAAAGAGAACAGTATCTCAAATATTCAGTTAAAGAAGTAATTTAAATGGATTCATGGTTAGTTGTAACATTAGACTTTATTTGATAAACATTTATTTTAACTGTAAAATAAAGACTGTAAAAATACTGTAGGCTGTTTAGGTGAGTAAATTTAAAAAAAATATATTTTAACACCGACAGATCCATTTTATTTACACGCAAAGCATTCTGGGTAAATGTTGACGTGGATAGGTCATTGGTGTGAGTGAGCTATATCCACACTGAAGGTTAATCTTGGACAATATCTGATGATTGACTCTTTTAAATGAAACCAGAGAGCGTTGACAGAGAGGAGAAGGTAGAAATGACTCAGCCTGTAACTGAAAATATGGATGGAGGACAACAGAGCTGCTTCATGGAAGAAGAACCTCAGCTTAACCTGTTAGCCTTTGCGCTAGCGCCCACGCTATATTGCCTTATATGTATTAGCTCGGCACTAGTGCGACAAACAAGCTAAACTGAGGTCCTCCATCCATATTTTCAGATGCAGGCTGAGTCATTTTTGCGTTCCCCTCTCTGTCATGTGGATGTAGAACCTCAGTGACGAGAGGAGAATGTGTAGCGCTGAGCTAATACATATATATGGTGATAGCATCGTGGCTAATGCTAAAGCTAACAGGCTAAGCTGGGGTTCTTCTTCCATGATGCTCTGTTGTCCTCCATCTATATTTTCAGTTACAGGCTGAGTCATTTCTACCTTCTCCTCTCTGTCAACGCTCTCTGGTTTCATTTAAGAGTCGATCATCAGATATTGTCCAAGATTAACCTTCAGGGTGGATATAGCTCGCTAGCAGCCTCGCACCAAGGACCTATCCATGTCATCATTTACCCAGAATGCTTTGTATGCAAATAAAATGGCTCCGTCTGTGTAATATATTTTTTAAACTTTTAGTTTAAAGTTATGAAAACTAAACAGCCTACAGTATTTTTACAGTCTTTATTTTACAGTTAAAATATATGTTTATCAAATAAAGTCTAATGTTACAACTAATCGTGGATCCATTTAACAAAAAAAAAAATTGGCATATAGGTGACCACTATGTGTTTATGCCTGGCTGATCAACCACAGCCAGAATTTTGTATGCACAACTGTTTCCAGTCCCAGTTGATCGCCTTTTTTTTTCGTGAGGCAGCCTCAAAAAGTTCCAGCTCTGTGTGACCAGAGATATTACTGCCAGTCACCCTAGCAGCTTGAACACCACACAAGTCCGCTCTGTGTGGGCAGACATCTACTATTTAGGCAGCTTACCCACGATTTCTGAAGACTTTTTGAACATGTAGGGTTTATGTTAACCTTGTTAAATAGACCAAAAGAGACCATTTTCTTCTGTAAATGACACCCACTGCGATCTTACACAGCAAGTTCCTGTGGAGCCAAGATGGAGACTATCACGTTCCTCACTTCCAGTTAGCACCACTGTGTATCTATCCACCAAACCATTGAGCCAAGGAAATGGTCCCCACAATGGTGGCTTGGCTAGAGTGCTGTCAGACAGCAGTCCCCAGCCAGCCGTTTTCAGAGCTGCTTGTAATCTCCTATGCCCAGTCTGACAGCCAAAGACAGATGGTTTTTAAGCTGAATGTTTGTGGCAGGAATCTGGGAGCGAGCTTAATTGGCCGTGCCCACACCAGGAGACTGCCAAAGCAGGACCACAGATTCCAGAGACACTCCCGTTAGATGTTTGTTAATGGGAGCAGCATAATCTAGAGCTGCCGTCCGACTGCTCGCTGTAATTTCTTCCTTATTCTATCATATTTACTCAAAGCAAGTCATAGTAATTGCTTTGAATTTGATGAAGTGAGAACAGCTTGATTATTATTTGCTGCTGGAAGCTTCTTGACAATCAAATGGCACGCTTTGCAGCTGAGCTTTTATCTCAAAGCCTTAAAGTGCTTTACAGTTAGAGAACAAATGAGCAGTGGCTGTTGTCTTGAGTGCATTGATAGTTTTTTTTAAGTTGATCTGTGACATTTCAGGTTTTTTCTTTTTTTTTTTTTTTTTTTAGGGATGGTCCACAGGAGACAGCCAGGAAACTGGGTGTGTTCACAGACGGAGAGCCCAATGACCCACCTAGTAGCACATCCAATCAAGTGCTGATACGGTTCCGTAGTAACACAGAAAAGGGTGGGCTCTTCAGTATTGGTTTTCAAGGTATGTACATATCCTTACTCCATCATTTTCTGTTGCTATAATATAATTCCCATTTTATAGAATCTGGTTTTGACTCCCGTTATCTCTATGTTTTAAAAACAGCTTACAGACTACAGCACTGCTTGCCTCCCCCTATTATTCCTAATGCAGAGATCCTGATGGCAAGCAAAGAATTTAAAATTGGTATGTAATTATACTGTACTGTCACCATAAGACACACACATATAAACATATTATCAGAGAACTGCTGCCTTTATGCATTAGATTTTGTCCCATTCTAACTTGAAGATTTTTAGCACTTTAGGCCATTTATCTCTCTGTCAAAATACATTCTAGCTTTGTCAGTTTACATTGCCTCGGGTTCACTGGCTAAACAAACATTTAGATAATAGGATTGTAGATAGACTCACCACATCTTCAATTAGCATGCACTTTTAGTCTCAGTATAGATAACTGATGATGGCAATAGAAAAGGAAAGCTAGTGGGACTGTTGCTCCAGTTCCTGGTCTCTTCAGAAAATGGAAATCACATTTCCCTTTTGTTCTCAAATCTGCATGATATGCTATTCAGTCACAAAGGTAACAGTGCTGAAATTGTGCTTCACCTATGCAATCTTTTGACAGATCAATATGGTATTTTTTCACACTGCTACTCACATTTTATTTTCTTTCTCTAAAAATGAGCAAATACTTTGTGGCAAATGTGGATTCTTTTTTTTTTAATTTATTTTATTTTCTCCGACACTAACTTATCTACTGCCTTCTCCGTATTAATTTCCAGGTGACATCGTGCGTTACAGATGTCTTCCAGGCTACCAATTGAGTGGAAACAGCATCCTGACCTGTCGATTGGGGACACACTTGGAGTTTGAGGGGCCTCCACCTTCATGTGATGGTAAGATAATGTATTCACTCTGGACATGCCTAGACAGGCTGTTGTAACATAACATTAGAAGTGTTGCATTTTTCCTATAGGAAGGGATTCATTTGAATTACAATGTGTTATAAACACTGTATTGTACTCTCACTGGAAAAAAAAAAACTACTTTTCAACAAACTGTTACATAAAAATAGATCAAAGAAAATCAAACTTATCTAAAGCTTTTTAAATAACATTTCAATACATTATTATAATTTATATTTTAAAATAATGTTTGAAAAACACAATAAATTTTATAATGATTTAAAAGATTTATTATTATTTTTTTAATTTGTTTTACTTTTGCATTTATTTTCACATCTTCCCTCCAGCCATCTGAGGCCCCCTAGCACCTCCTTTGAAAAACCCTGATTTAGATTCTACTCACCAAACTGTACAACAATAGCACTCATACCCCCAAAAATAACAGTGCAGAAAAAGAATTGTATGTCACAACTCAGGTAAACACTGGTTTAATTTGCTGCATGGTTTACTTTTAGCTGGGTTGAATCCTCTATGTATAGAATTGTGTTGTGTTGTCTCTCACTGTAAAACTACAGCCAACTCATGCAGCTTCCCTGTGGATTATACTTGGCTCTCGGGTGGTTCAGGGTGGTTCCTGTAATGTTATCTACATGCTGAGTTATTGTCCTCCCTGAGGATTTTCGTGCTCCCCGCATACAACCTCATCTTAATACTATCTGCTGTTTGTAATGCGTTTCCTCAGGGCAAAAGACAAAGTGCATCGAGGGGTTCCTTTGCCTTTTTTTTGTACTTCACAACACAACTG